GACCCCCCGGGGGGGGGGGGGGGCTCGGTTTGATCCATGGGCTCGAATGCTGTACTGCAGCAGCAGCCTGGCCCGGGGCATTCTTTCGACTAAGCAGGAGGTGGGGTGGCTGTGAGGTTTCGTCGTGGAGGGCCTTGCCCTTTAGTGCCGCGAGCTCTTTCTCTCTCTCTTTTTCTCTCTCTCTCTCTTTCTCTCTCTCTCTCTCTTTCTCTCCCTCTCTCTCCCTCTCTCTTTCTCTCTCTCTCTCTCCTGACCCCCCCCCCGTCCCCCCCCGTCCCCTCGTCCCCTCGTCCCCTTTATGCTAATTTTTGTCACGCCCTACCCCCCTTGGTCGTTGGTGAAACTGAAAATGTGACCAACAGGCACTACTTCATCGAGGTGAACCCTCGCATCCAGGTGGAGCACACGGTCACGGAACAGGTCAGTTTCGGTGACAGGAGAATGAGTTGTGTTCGCCACCGAATTTTTTTTTTCACGATGCAGGTCACTATTTGGGAGGAAGTTTTGGGGACCTTCTCTGGACGGTTTGTAACGTTAACACGCACACACATCGATTTTTCCTCGCACAGAACAACAACAAAAAGATGGTTTGTGATAAGGCACGCCCATCGATTTTTCTTGTACTTGCAAAGAAGTATAGTACTTGCAAAAGATATCCACCTCCGTTGTCATACCCCTGGAGATTAGAGCATCAAGAACAAGGTTCGAAACCTTGCTTGGGTGGTTTGTGGTGACCCACCCTCACCGGACCCTTTTTTTTTATCATTCATAACTTTTTTTTGTGTGCGTATGGTTGTTGTGTTGGTTGTCGTGATGCAGGTGACCCAAGTGGACCTCGTCCAGACCCAGATCCGCATCGCCGCGGGGGCCACCCTGAAGGACCTAGGCCTGGTCCAGGAGAACGTGAAGGTTGGCGGGGTCGCCATGCAGTGCCGGGTCACCACCGAGGACCCTTCCCAGGCGCGTTCCATCCCGTGTGCCGTGGATCGTTCCTTGTAAACTGTGAACCGGTCCGTGTGCTGTGAATCGCCCCTTGCGAACCGGTCCGATCTATTAGTTTGAACTAGTAGATGCTTGCCGTACGCTCGATCGGCGTGAGAGAAGGAGAGGAAATCCACTATACCGTTGGGAAAGTCCCAAGCGCGCTTGCTTGACCGAGCCTTCCCCCCCCCCCCCCCCCCGATTATGGTTATTGCTGCTGCTGCGGATAGGAGTGCGGATGGGAGTGGTCAAACTCTAACGCCCTGCCCTTGTCGTGTTGTTGTATCATTTTTTTTATTCTCGTTGTATTTACTTGTTTATTAATCGCTGCCCCATCCATGCTGTTGCCGTTGGGGGCGTTATCCGGAGCAGGACTTTAAGCCCGACACGGGTCTGATCGAGGTTTTCCGCTCCCCCGGAGGCATGGGCATCCGCATCGACGACGGACCCGGGTTCCAGGGGGCCAACATCAGCCCGCACTACGACTCCCTGCTGATGAAGATCACGGCGAGCGCTCCCACTCGAAGGGTGGGTAGTTGTTGATGTTGCTGTTGCTGTTGCTGTTGCTGTTGTCGTCGTCGTTGTCTGGGGTGGTGCTCGTGTCGATGGCGTCGGTGGAAGTGCTATTTCTTGCTGATGTTTTGGTTTTGGTGCTCTACGGCAGTGGTTGTTGTCGTCGTCGTCGTCGAAGCTGCTGTTGCTCTTTGTCGTGGTTGTTTGTTGTTGTAGTTGTTGTAGCTGCTGCTGCTGCTGCTGGTGTTTGTTGTTGTAGTAGTTGTTGTCGAAGCTGCTGCTGGTGTTGTTGTTGTTGTTGTTGTTGTTGTTGTACTTAGCTGCTGCGGTTGTTTGTCGTTGTTATTGTTGTAGCTGCTGCTGGTGTTTGTTGTTGTAGTTGTTGTTGTCGAAGCTGCTGGTGTTTGTTGTTGTATTATACCTAAGAAGTAGAAGTAGTTGTTTTCGAACAAAAATCGTCGCCGCTGGGTGTTGAGGTTGGGGCTGCTGTAATAGTAATAGTGGTAGGGTTGTGTTCTTTGTTTTGGCTTTGGTGGTGGTGCCGCCGCTGGCAATTGAACGGCGCGGGGCGTGCTGCTGGTGCTGCGGCTGCGGCTGCGGCTGTTTCTATCGCTTTTGGTGCACGTGGTAGCATCGGTCATCTTGACCTCTTTTTTGTCGCACGCCTTTTCCCCTCCGCCCGCCTGCGCTTATCCCCGTTGCACACCTTTGTGATGATGCTGCCTCGATGCCGTGTGGTGATTTTTCACTTGAATATCAGGACTGTGCGTCGAAGCTTACCCGTGCCCTTGACGAGATGCGAGTCAGAGGCGTCACCCTTAACAAGGTGAGGGTTGGAGCCAGGACACAAAAAAATTTAACATGTAGGGCATCTATTCGAGGCACGTTTGATAAAGACACGAGAGGTGGTGGGTGCGGAAGCTGTTCCGCTGCCTGCTGGCACGGGGACGACGCTAGCTGGGTGTTCGGTGCCCTGGCTACACGGACGGGGCGTGAGGGTATGTTTAGGCTCACTAATAATCGGAGGACTGAACCCCGGTACAGCCTTAACCTTATACAAGTAGACGCTTGGAACTTGCACAATTTTTTGCTGCTGCTGCGCTACTGCGGCCGCATGCGTAGCCTCTTTGTGTTCTTCATCCGCCCGTTGCCGTTGCACCTCTCCGATGTGACTGGTCCATTTTTGTCTTCCATCTACCCATATATATGTTACCATCGCCGCCCACAGCAGCCAGTAACGCGCTCCCTGCAACCTGCGCCGTTTTTCGGTTCTCTGTCCCTCCCTCCCTCTGTCTTTTTTGTCGAAACCCCTCACCGAATAACGACGGACTCAGCCGTTCCTCCTCAACGTCCTCAAGCACCCCGACTTCGTGGACGGGACTGTCAACACTTCCTTCATCGGCGAGAACCCGCACCTCCTCGCGCCCATGCGCGTCTCCAACCGGTAATAATTACGCCGCGTCTCGAACCGCCAGCAAATAGGCCGCGTTAGTCGTGTGGACGTATTTCGATGCCCGGTCGTCCCGCCCCCCTTGAGGTGTATTTAATATTTTGGCGAGGCGATATGCTGAAGAATGAATGCATTGTCTTGTTGTAGACTTACCAGCACCTATGCACACGGCTCTTGGTTCTTGACAAAACTGCTGTATGTTTGTGTCGGCGGCCCCCTGAATCGACGACTCGTGTTTCTGTTTTGTCTTTCGTGCGACACCGAGAGAGGTCCGCTCCGTTGTGTGGCGGGATTGTTTGCCGATTCATCGTCGATAGGTTCCCGGCAAATTAGTTGGCTTCTTCAGCGGTCGTGTGCAGGACTACACGATGAAACTCGTAAAACCGCTATCCTCGTGCCCCCCCCCCCCCCCCTCTCTCTCTCTCTCAAGTGGCCAAAAATGCTCAAGTACATCGCGGACGTGATCGTGAACGGTCCCGACCCCTCCCTCGGAGCCGTTGGAGGCGAGCCGGCCATCGTCGACCCCACCGTGCCCGCCCTTGACCCCATGACCGACATGCCCAAGAAGACCGAGCCCAGCCTGCGCGACATCTACGTCAAGGTGCGTGTTGTGTCTTTTGACGAAACACGATGTTAACGTTTTTTCCAACTTCGCATCATTCTGCTGGGGGGCATCTACCGGTTTTTCGTATTAGTTAAAGTGTGCATGCTGCCGTACCAGGTTTTTGCTTTTGGTTTCCCCCTGATTGGTGCAGAGCAATGACACGTAGTCCACCCAAATCAAACAACATTTTTTTTTTGCTTTCGAGCTGCAGCCGCGACTCCGCTGTGAGAGGGTGGTGCGACAACGGCCCTCGACCCTATTATGTCGGAGCAACCCTATTCGCTTGCAGCACGTACCCTCTCATAGCGGATCCACGACTGCTGTACGTAAGGCAGCTGTCTTACGAACGTTTTTTATTTTTTCGGACGGTGCCCTCTTCAAACGGAACCACGACTGCAGTACGTACGTAACGCTTTGTCTCTCTGTACTTGAAGGTTTTTTTTGTTGTCTTCAGGACGGTGCCATCTTGTGGCGGAGCCACCACGACTTTACGATACGTCTGTCTTTTTTTCTGGCGTTTTTTGTTTGTTTTATGACGTTTTCTGTTTGTTTTTTTGGACGGCGCCCTCTGGTAACGGATCCACCACTGACTGACTGCTGCACGTACGTACCACTACTGTCTTGCGTTTTTTTCTTGTTTCTTTTTTTTTTTTTTTTAGGACGGGCCGGAGGCGTTCGCAAAGGCGGTCCGCAGCAACGAGGGTCTCCTGATCACCGACACCACCTGGAGGGACGCCCACCAGTCGCTGCTGGCCACCAGGGTCCGGACGATCGACCTCCTCAACGTCGCCCCGGCCACCTCGGTCGCTCTCCGAAAGGCTTACAGCCTCGAGTGCTGGGGCGGGGCCACCTTCGACGTGTCGATGCGATTCCTCAAGGTAAAGGGGGGGTTGTACGGTGTGATGGTGGTGTTTTTTTGGACGGAGTTTTTTTTTTGTTTTCTTGTTTTCGGACATCGTTCTTGTTGGTGGTGGGCCTTTGGATGGGGGGGGGGGAGGTACTTGTTGATTCAAAGAGATAGGCCTGCCTTTGCTCCCGAAGGCGTGGATTCCGGGGGGCTGTCTGTGCCTGTCACGCCGTGTTGCTGCTCCGGCTGTAAGTGCGCAAGCTCTATGTTGGTCGTTGTTGTTGGCGATGGTCTGTTGAGAAGGGACAGCAGCATTGTTTGCTGCTGTCGAATGGATGGGTCCCATTGCCTCGTTGTCTCAAAAGCAAAAAAACAAACGCCGGGCCTCCCCCCTACGCGATGTAGACTGGCAGCCTTTTTACAAGCGGATGGATGCCCCTCGGCTCCTCAAGCTTTTTTTTTTTTTCCCGGCCCTGCTGCTGTTCTCTCGTCACCGACTCCTTTTTTTTGTTTTAGGAGTGCCCCTGGGACCGTCTGGCGAAGATCAGGGAGGCGGTGCCCGACATCCCATTCCAGATGCTGCTGAGGGGGGCGAACGCCGTCGGCTACACCTCGTACCCGGACAACGTGGTGTTCAGGTTCTGCGAGGAGGCCCAGAAGGCCGGCATGGACGTCTTCCGCGTGTTCGACAGCCTCAACTACCTAGAGGTGAAGGCGGAGGGCGGGCCAGAAGGGGGGGGGGGGGGCATACTCATGTTGTTCATGGTGTAGTGGTTAGACAATTGGCCGCACGGCCTCGAGAGGGTGGATCATTGTTTTGACGCAGGACCGATTCATCACCGATGGCCAATCGTTCTGTCCTACTTTGGCCAAGGGTGGCTGAGACACGTTTCCCCTACCCTGGGGGTTCTCATGCACAAGGGGTTGTTTCAGCCCAGCAGTGGGGGTCGTCACTAGTACCACGCCCTTCGTGTAGTTGTTCGGCGTGCGCGCATTGGATCACCGTCGCGATGTCATCGCCCGCAGCCCCCAGCACCAGGTGATGCACGAAAAGCGCTGCTGGTCGCTTATTTCGTGAACATGCCGAAACGTCTTCGCCGGCGTTCGTGGGTCGTGACAACGAATGCGCGAAGAGGCGCGTTGTGGTGTGTGCATGCCTACTTTCGCTTCCTGAGTTGGCATCGGCCTCACCGACTGGCCGGGCAATGAAATGACCGCGCTCTTCGTTGCTGTTGCTTGGGCCGTGCAGAACATGCGCCTGGGCATCGACGCCGTGGGGGCGGCGGGGGGTATCGTCGAGGCTGCCGTGTGCTACACCGGGGACATCTTGGACCCTACCAGGTGATGGTGATGATGATGATGGTGATGATGATGATGGTGATGATCCGGGTCAAAAGACGCTCTGCCGCGGTGCTAGAAATACCTACCACGAGCCCTCTCTCTGGAATAGTGATACTTTCTCGTTGTTTTGTGTTGAATCATTTTTTTTTGGGGCGGCTGTGCTGGTGGCGTGCCCTCGTAGTACAAACGGGAAAGAAAAGGCATCATTGGGTGGAGTTCATGGAGCTCTGGCGCGCTGTACAACTGGCTCTTCCGACTGCTGTGTTCTCCTTGTTTTTGTGGCGTTTTTGTGACAGGCTTCAAAATGTTGAAAAGGTGCTGTAGGTGGTTGCTTTTTCAAGCCCCATTTCTATTTGTTTGTGGTCCACGCACCGAAACGCAGGAACTAGCATACACCCCGTTTCTTGTGCGTGCTTGTCGACATCTTCACGTCAATGCTGTGTGCCTCTGCTGCGTCGCCTGCTGTAGTTTATTGTGGTTGTGCTCCATCACGCGCAAGTCTTGCCGGTTCACTTGCTATTGTCGTTTTTTTGTGTGTGTCAAATGTGTCCCCCTCCGCTGGTTGTTGTACGAAGTATTAATTTATTTATTTTTGTGCTCCCTGCAGCAAGGGGGTCGTGGTTAACGTTGTTTTTGTTTTTTTGTTGGCGTTGTGTGCGTGTTCCCTTCTCTTCCCTTCTCGCTTCGTCTCGTTGATCCTCATCCTTTCAGCGAGCAGTACAACCTGGACTACTACCTCAACTTCACGAGGCAGCTCACCGAGCTCGGCATCCACGTGCTGGCCATCAAGGACATGGCAGGCCTTCTCAAGCCCGAGGCGGCCACCGTGCTGGTGAGGCAGTCTATAGCTGCAGGCGCGGGCCCCTCTTGGGGGACCCGTAGTGTGAGATGGGGGAGCGGGGGGGCGTTGCTTGGGTCGTGTGCGGTGGGAAATGGCGGTGCTGTTTTTTTGTTTTTTTTTGCCCGCAAGGGTGAAGGGTGTGACGACCGGAACGACGCTGGATGGCAAGGCCCTCTGCCGGAAACTGTACCAGGTCCCTGGCAACGCCGGCGCTGCTGATGATGAATCGTGCTTCTTCCATCTTGCCGTGTCTGTTTGCTTATGATTATTCCAAGCATGGGCGTTAATTTTGCTGAAAACTTCTAGAGTGGTGGTTGTGGGTGGAGAAGAGATCTGCCTGCGCATGGAGTCTCCTCCAAAGAGTTGAGTTCTGGTAGTAGAGTGGTGTACCAGCGGCGTCGGTTCCGGTTTGGACCATGATTGAAGCGTCTGTCTGGCTGTACTCCCCTGTCCTGTTCCTCCTTACACGACGTTCTTGTTTTGGTTTAGTTTACACATCTGGAGTGGTGGTTGCGGTTCGAAAGATCGCTACGTGTAAGGTTTTCTCCAGAGTTGGTTTCCTTTCTCGACCCGTGATTTAAAGAGTCTGGCCGTGCTGACTGTACCCCCACTGTCGTTGCTCTTCCCCACCCGGCTTGCCTTGTTTGTCGGGGCAGGTGTCGGCTCTTCGACGGGAGTTCCCGGACCTGCCGATCCACGTGCACACGCACGACACAGCGGGGACCGGGGTTGCCTCTATGCTCGCGGCCGCAAACGTAAGCGACTAGGCAACAACGAACAAGAGGGAGTACCGTAAAAACGAAAATGTATTGCACTGCTGTAGGTGCGACATTGCATGGGGGAGGGCTATGAAGAGTTTGTGTTTTTTTTTGGGGAGGGGGGTGTACTCATAGTCGTGCATGCCGTAGTCGTTACACCATTGACCTCGCATCCCTACAAAGCCGGGACGGAGCACGCCGGGTTCTCACCGGGCCAGGCTCTCACATCACCGAGCGCGAAGCGCCGTGAGATATTGGACGAGTCGCATGAAGGGTGCGCTGCATCCTGCTAAGGGTGTTCGGCATCTTGTGCTTATTTCCTTGCGTACGGATGACAGCTGCGTATGGCTTAATTTATTTTCTGGTGCTTTCACTCCAGAGACAGTTGTAAGCACTGCTGTGTAACTGCCTTGAGGGTGCTTGACCAATTTTAACACAACGTGGTGCGATTATCCTCCTTGCGCGGAGTGAGGGTTCTCGACCCCGCACAACATAATCTACTCGACCACCATTCATGGTTACCCCAAAAAAAAAACAAAAAAAAACGGTAACCTGGTTGCCGAGCTCACGAAGTGATCGACTTGTTTTACAACATCGCTGCCAAGCGACGAAAAACCAACCCCGATGGCAAACAACATAACAACACCGGGGGGGGGGGGGGGGGGGGGGATTGATGTACGCTGCAGTTTTTTTTTCAATTTTTTGCCGTTCTTTGTTGTTGGCCTTGCCAAGCGGCAAGACGGCCCCTCCCTGTCCATCCCGCCCCCCCTTGGTTTCACCGGCTGCTGTCCGTGTCCGGTGTTTTGGGGCAATAGTTCCCTTTCGTGTCAAGGTACCCCAAGCTGTACGGCGATGGCCTCCCTGCTCTCGTCGTGGTTGCGGGCGGTCTCTACCACGATGCTGTGTTTCATATTTCTGTCGGGCAAGTCGCCGTTGCTGTTTGCCCTTCGACTCGCATGCTCCTCTACAAGTAGACTACCTTATCTGTACCTTAACCCTGCCCATCTTGTGTCGGTGTTGCCGTACACCTTTGGACGTACATGCTCCCCTATGTCACTACTGCTGTTGCGAATGTTGCGTCGGTCTCATGTCGCCGTTCCTATTTTCCCTCTCAACGTCCACATCTGTGAAACCCCAACCCCAAAACACTCCAGGCCGGTGCGGATGCAGTGGACGCGGCAATGGACGCCATGGCCGGCACCACCTCGCAACCCAGCATGGGTGCCCTGGCTTCCTCTCTCGCGCGGTCCCCGCTCGACACGGGCCTCGATATGGACGAGATCACCAAGGTCAGCAGCAACAGCGTTACCTGCAGATTTTGCAGCAGCCTACAGGCGTTGCAGCAGCTTTTTACAGCAACCTTGAGCAGCAGCGTTAGCATCCTTTTAGCAGCAGCAGCTTGAACAGCCTTTTGCAGCAGCAGTACCGTTGCGTGTTGTTTTTCGCTCGATTGCGGCGGCACCAGACAGATGATCTGGCGTTTTTGCTCGTTGTTGCTGATTTTTTCTTGTGGCTTTGATGGGATTGCCAGGGTCAGGGGTAAATGTATACACGCATGTGTTGCATGCACTGCATGCCACTCGATTTCGCCTGAACGACAGCGGACTCACGACAGCGGACTCATAACACTGTCATGCTCAACCGACCCTATAGAACCCCCCTTCCTCACACCACCTTCTCTTCATGAAGGCATGTCGGCTCACGACTACTCTTTTTGCAATAAATCACGGCTTTGTTCCTGTGTACGCCGAATACCAAAGGTGAACGACTACTGGGAGGAGTGCCGCGGCCTGTACGCGCCGTTCGAGAGCGGACAGAAGTCGGGATCGGCGGACGTCTACAACCACGAGATGCCAGGTAAGCCCCCCCCCACCCCTCCCCCCCCCGCACGGCGGTACATCTCCGACACGTCTTGCTGCCGAATTAATGTACATTTTTGCAAATTTCGAGAGCATGGAGATGAATCGTTTCCTATACCGCCCCGCCGTCACGCTGCTGTAGTCGCCTTACGAAGGGGGGGGGGGGCACACGAGCCTTGTTCTCGGAATGGAAAGCATTTATAACGACGCGCATGCCCTCTTATCCTCCCCCGTTAACTTCTGGTTCCATTATATTTTCTTAGTTTCTGTACTCTCTCCCGCTCCTCCTCTGTCTCTCCTTCCCTACTCTCTTACTCTCTCTCGCTCACCCGCTCTCTCTCTCTTCCGATTGTGTGCGTGCTGTTTTCGCCGCCGCCGCCGCTTTTTTTGTTTTTTTTTCAGGGGGACAGTACACGAACCTCCTGTTCCAGTCCCAGCAGCTGGGCCTCTCGGGGAGGTGGCCCCACATCAAGCGTGCCTACGCCTCGGCCAACCGTCTTCTCGGTGACATCATCAAGGTAGCGTAAAGTAATAGAGCAACTTGTACGTAAGACAGTAGAAGCTCCTTCCCGTGGCGAGACATGCTTTTTGGCTGTGGAAGGGCACGTGTTTGGGGGACACACGCCTCTTTATTTGCTGTTGGTTGCTGCTGTGCATGTGCTCCTTTTGGCTGCTGCTGCTGCTGCTGCTGTTGTGGCGCTTCGATCTCTAGTAGCACGTTTTCGTGACCTCGACGTCCGCCCACCGCTTCAATTTCCTTCCTTGCGTGGAGTAGACGCGAACGCACGCATGGCAGGGCCTTGCCCAAGAACCAGGGTGCGTACCACAATTGTTCACACATGTCGCGGGTGGCTTGCGTGAAAAACTTGGCTCTGGTGGCCACGTGATTTTTTTTTATATCAGATATACATGCATATGCATATTAAGATATATATGCATATGCATCACTCCCCCCCCCCCCCCCCCTCTGCCAAAACCTTTGTAAAAACCTCTCGGGGTGGGTTTCTCTCTCGCGC